AGAGATATTAGCTGTACTGCTGGGTTGTGACTGCAGTGTTACAATTTGAACATTGATGTGCCTTGTGCGCAGGGCTTATGCTTAGGCAGAAGCTCATCTTAAACTTGACAGCCCTCACGTGAGCAGCGAAAATCTTCAGAAAAATGCTCCTTCCTGTTCAAGCTGGTTATCGAGACAAAGGATGAATGCTAACAGTGTCTCAAACTAAGTATTCATTTACGCACGCGTGACTTAAGCATGCTTTAAAACTGAAAATGAAATATTTAGATTACACATAGATATAGAATGCGTTCCAGCTTCCGAGCTTGACTATTTCGCGAAATCGCTTTCCGCTGCAAATATCTTTGAAATAGTCGAACACAGACATTTAGTGCCCGGCAGTAATTGATCTCATAAAGTTAAGGCGCTCTAATAAGCTAGGATTTCGAGATGGCGTTTTGTCTGCGACTTTGCAATCATAATTTTGATGCGTTTGTAAAATTGCCTAGGCGTGCGCTAAAGTTAACTTTGAAGTCTCTAGCTCACACATATCGGCGTGAAATTTCAGCTTCCTATCTTGCTTGTTTCCAAAGATTTTACATGTCTTCTTTTCGACGTCCATAAGTAACATCTAAACGCACAGCAGCGATAATTTTAAAACGAAATGGTCGCGCATGGGATTAGTCACTCCAAAAGTTATAGTTTGCTAGCTTCTCTGGTTGCTCAGTTGAAAACGGGTGACAAGGTGTGAATACACAAGCGCGGAAACAACCTCTTGCTAATATGCGTTTCTGCATTTGCATGAATATGCAGTGACGCACTATAGCATAACCATGCAAGTGCAACCCAGGTAGAAACGCATCAGGCTCGCCGGTGCGATCACGTGCTTTTGCATCAGACTTGAAGCACTCGGGTCATTAACTGCAGAATGGTTGTTGCTTCAAACCTACCTTTTGCGCTCACTGGCGTACATCACCATAAATTTTGCATAAAATAAATGTACAATTTTCATTTAACAGCCGTTCTTTGAAAGTAACCTAGCTGTTCAGTGAGCAAATTTTCCGCCAAAACTTTTAGGTGCCTACAAGTTAGAACCACGCATATCTGAAGGGTAAATTTGGAACATTTAAGTTATATTTGAACAAAGAACACCCTCCTAAAATTTCACCTTTTTAGCTTTTCTGGTTCCCGAATTATTAGTTTTCCCGCCAAAACTTTCACGTGGGTGTCCCAGGTACTTGGTAAGCTGAATTTTGCACGTAAACAGGAAG